GGGAGGGAGGGAGGGAGGAAGGGCCTAAAAAAATAAAAATGGAAGCGCTGGAAATCAGCAATTGCCTTCTGAAGAAAATGAGTGGAGGAAACCATCCGAGATGGGATTGCTGTGAATGTAGTTTGCTTCTATTAAACTTATTTATAGGTTATATTTTTCTTATATCATTTTGCTTTATTTTGTGAGTGATGTACGTCACTTATAACCCTTTAGGTTTCAGCAGTACATAAACCCTACAAGTAATGATAACAAGCAGCAGGTAACAGCAAGCTAAAAAAGTCAGTAAAAACGGTGAGCAAACCTCAAGACAAATCACACAGAATCACCATCAGACTGCGGACCATATTTCGATATTTTCAGAAATATGAAGCAGAACCTGGAGTGAGTTTCCAGAAAGACCGATAGGGAAAAGCTTTACTGCGCAGTAAAACGTATAAAAGAAAAAGGGTGGAAGAGATGCACGGATCCCACGAAGAGGCACCAAGAATAGGGACTGTAGGGGGAACCGCAGGCCAGCCCTCCAAGCCCAAACTTTTCACCTTCTCCCCATGGAATCCAGAAGAGGATTTGCTAAGCCAGTGCAAGAGCGGGAAAGGGGGACCAGGCGGGCTTCTCTGACTGCAGGAGCAGAAGCTGAGCTTAAAGTCTAAAGCAGCACAAAGACACCAGACACCAGGATCTAGAGGACAAAGCTACAGACACTCTTCCTTTGACCTTCTGGTCAAGGAGGAGAAGACAGACAAGGACGACAGCTTGCTTCGAAGAGGACCAGGGCGAGGCTGAACTTACTCATCTTTTTACACACAGCCATACAATATTCCTCTGACTCAAAATTGTTTCGGTTGCCTCCGCAGCCTCCATATATAAAGCGAATGCACTTTTTCTTGTACATGTCGAAGTACCAACGAGGCATCACGGCCCGGCAGGGACCCGTCATCGCCTCCTGGGAGCAGACAGCTGTGTGGAGATGGTTAAAGCATCAGCTGGTGGCAAGCAAAGCTTTGCTAAGCTAGTTCAACATCAATGGTTGGCTTTAGGTCAATCTTGGTGGACCTTCCCCTGGAGCGCTGAAGAGCTCTTCCTTCCTTCCTTCCTGATGGGTTTTCATTTAGCTCTTGGTTCTCCACTCAACCTGACCTGCTTTTTACTTCTCAAAAAGTTAGGGTGGAAGGGTTGGGAGAGCAGCTCTGAGGCCGGGCAGCCCCTCTGCTTCAGCGTAGCCACTCGATTCCCACACAGAGCATTTTTATGCAGGAGGATATGCTGCCTGACAACTACCGTATTTTCCGGATCTTTCACCCCCTTTTCCTAAAAGGGGGTGAAAATTTAGGTGCGTCTTATACATCGAATGTAGCCCCGCTCACCCACTGGCCCCCACCTTTTGACCTCTGCCTCCCAGCTGTTACCTCCTTGCAGCAAACACCAAGAAGAAACAGCTCATTTCAGCTTCAGCACAGCCTGATTAGCACAAGTTCATTGGATCAGCCTCCCGACTCTCAGCTGTTTTGCACTGCTTGCTGCAAGGAGGTAAATTGCTGGGAGCAGATTTTTTTTTTTCTTGTGCTAATCAAAAAATGCTGAAAACAAAAATGAAAGCAAAGCAAGCTGTTTGCTGCAACGAAGCAAAATTGCTGGGAGGCAGAGGGAGATTTCTTTTCCTACTTTTCCTCACCAAAAAAGGTAGGTGCGTCAGTGCATCTTATACTCTGAAAAATACGGTATTGCTGGTTTATTTTCAACTAAGAGCACGTTGGGGACCACTTCGATCATCCAACTTTCTGAAACCTAGGTTTTTTCCACTTCCAAAACTCTCTTAAGATGTTTACCACCTCTATCTGCCAGCAATGATTTCTTTTAGGGAAAAAAAGATCATGCGGTTTGGGGGACCGGAATGCAATGATACCGAGACACCAGAAGGACTATTTTAATCACCAGAAGCAGTCACAACGTGTTAACTCAACTGCATTCAAAGGGCTTTAGGAAACATTTATTAAAACGGCTACTTAAGTCAGCAAAAGGCAGCTTTTTTGTGTGTGTTGCAGGTTAAAGTCTAGTTAATGAATTCCTGCGTTGAACGAAGAATGCTTCAGTAGCACAATTTGAAATTCGGAAGGGACAAAGAGTAACCCATTAAAAGACAAGTCTACGCACTGCAACAAATGCACCCTAATTGGCTCCACAAATGTGTAACTTCAGCTTCGCTCAACAACTGAAGCTCCCTGCAAGGTTTTGAGAATGGACAAACCCAACAAAAGGAGTTATCTCTGTAAAAGAACAGCCAACGTGTAAGTTGCAGTTTAGCATGACTTTGTTCTTTGTAGACATGTTATTTAACAAAAGCATCTGTTGAAAAGCAGCAGCACGCATTCAATTGAATGTATTTCTTTGGGAAGCACAACGGCTACCTGCTAGATTAGCTTTAAAAGTGTTATCATTTATTGGACTGGTTTGTTTCCTAGTGTTCCTTTCATGGAGAAAATGTGAGCAGCTTCTCACTTTGATCAGAACCAATTTGTTAACATTTCTGCAAAAAGGGGGCATATTTCGATGCAGCCCTAGGAAAGGGGGCTTGTGCTAAATTGATAATGCCTCCAAAACAGGAAAGTTACCGTACTTTTTGGAGTATAAGACGCACTTCCCCCACCCCCTAAAAGAGGGAGGGAAATGTTGGTGCGTCTTATACACTGAATATAGCCATTTTTGACCTCCCGAAAACCCGCCCCACACGTCCCATTTTTGCCAAAAATGGGCCTGTTTTTGGCTTTCCAAACCCCCCATGCGTCGCATTTTTGCCCTCCCTGGCCCCCACGGGCACTCTGCACGCCTCCCAAACCCTCTGTGCATCCCGTTTTTGCGAAAAACAGGCCCGTTAGACATGTAGGAGGTTCGAGACGCCTGCAGTTTTCCTGGGGGCCGGGGAGGGCAAAACCGGACGCGCGGAGGCCAAAAACTATTTTTTTTTTACTTGTTTTCCTCTTTGAAATCTTGGTGCGTCTTATACTCCGGTGCGTCTTTTAATAATCCGAAAAATACGGTATCTTCAGTAAACAGCATGTCAAGATTTTTAATCTGCTGACCTGCTTGAAAATTAAAACATTCCATGAAGGAAAACTAGTAAGGCAATTTATGGATTGCAAGGATCAAGTGATAATTGTTGTGACAGACAGAAGCTGATTGAATCTGTAATGGGACTGCTTACCTTTCACATCATTCATGATTTCCTTATCGGAGAAAGTTCTTTCCTTGCTCGGTGTGGACGGAGGCTCTTCGTTGTAGTCTTTGTAGCTATCATAATAATAATCCTGGTCTACTACCACTTCTTCTTCGTTTTCTTCTTGTTCTTCCTCATCGTCGTCATTCAACTCCATGACTCCTACTGTGAAGTCATCTGTATCTGCTTCGGTGGGCAATTCACTAGGAGAGGCAGAAGGGGAATCCAATGTGAAGAGGCAACAATTTTTCCCTCAAATGTTTAAATGCACTGCGAAACACTTTTAAGTGTAAATTTTAAATTTTTAATGTATTTTAAAATTATGGGTATTTTAAATTATGGGTATTAATTCAGCCAAATTTATTTAATTCATTTTATTCGATTTTAAATTTTGTATATTTATGTGTTTTATTTCATGGCTGTACACCGCCCTGAGTCCTTCGGGAGTAGGGCGGTATAGAAATTCAATAAATAATAATAATAATAATAATAATAATAATAATAATAATAATAATAATAATAATGGAGATCTTGACCATGGATCAAATGTTGGCTCGATAACTTCTATATTAGAGGTTACAGTCAGTGACCTTTTAAACCATGATGTCAAAGTGGACTTTTACAAGATGAATTGAAATTCCATGCATATTTAGCAGCTACAAAGAGGTAGTATATTTCCGTTCAGTTTCTTTAACATGCTCACAAGAAATACCAGGAAGTACCAAAGAGGGAACACATTCCAAGAGCCTAGTTTTTTTCACAAAATGGACTGGATTGTGTATTTCCTGAACGGTGTATTTTGAAACAAGAAGCTGGTCATGATACTCCAGATACCATGCTCCTGATTTAGGAGAATCCAGTTGCCTCATTCTAGGACAGGGGTCTTCAACCTTAAACACTCAAAGAGCCATTTGGACCAGTTTCCCACAGAAAAGAAAACACCGGGAGCCACAAAACCGTTCCCATGCCTGACTGTTTCTTGAGCGGCCCCAAAACTAGCATATGTAGTTAAATTAAAAGTTCTGTTTTCTTCTGAAACTTTTCTTTTCTTGGATTTATCCATGGTTGGCCTACCGGGGGTTGAAAAGCTCAATAAATCCCGTGCCGGCGGGTGTCGCACATTGGCGGTTGTAACGCATATTTTGAGTGACAGGGAGCTGCAGAAGAGGGGTGAAAGAGCCACATGCGGCTCCAGAACCGCAGGTTGCTGAGCCCTGTTCTAGGAGAAAAAAAAATGGCAAATGGACTGTGCCTATTTTTTTTTTCCTTAATTAAACTCAACCTCTCTTTTCTGCCCTGCCCAGCATGGAAAAATAATGTTAATTAAACAAGAATATTTGATCCTGCTCGTTGCTACCTTTTGTTACCATCGTTGTCGTCTTCCTCCTCCTCGTCTTCATCCTCTTCCTCCTCCTCCTTAGACAGAGCTTCATCTACAATTTTGGCCTGAGGGCAACACACGTATTCCGTGCCGTGGAACTGGTCTACACCACAAGGGAGCAACATCCCGTAACTGTGCAAGATCATACCCTCGGTTAAGCAAGCCTAAAGGAAGCAGTAAAGCCAAGAATGAGCATAATTTCCCCAGGTTTCAAGTACCAGATGCTACACAGGAAGGTGGAGAAAAAAAGATCTGACTAAAGAATGGAAATTAAGAGGTGCTCAAGGAATAGGATGTAATCCAAGGTTGAGACAGACCTACAGTAGAATAGTGGATGGATGGATGGATGGATGGATGGATGGAAGGAAGGAAGGAAGGAAGGAAGGAAGGAAGGAAGGAAGGAAGGATAGGAAGGAAGATCGATAAAGGAGAAGGAGGGAGGAGAATATGAATGAGAAGGGAGGAGGGAGAGAGGAAGGGGAGGAAGAAAGGAAGATGGGAATGGGTGGGAGAGTGGGACGGAGGGAGGGGAAGGAAGGAAGATGGAATGGGAGTGAGGAGGAGGGAGGGAGGAGATATGAAGGAGAAGGAGGGAGGGAGGGAGGAAAAATAGGAATGGAAGGAAGGGTGGGGAGGGAGGGAGGAAAGAAGGAAGATGGGATGGGAGGGGAGGGAAGGAGGGAGGGAGGGGAAGGAAGGAAGGAAGATGGGAAGGAGAAGGAAGGAGGGAGGGAGGAGATATGATGAGAAGGTAGGCAGGAGGGGGCAGGGAAGGAAGGAAGTGGGAATGGGGAGGGAGGGAGGGAGGGAGGGAGGGAGGGAGGGAAGGAAGGAAGGAAGGAAGGAAGGAAGGAAGGAAGGAAGGAAGGAAAGGAAGGAAGGAAGGAAGGAAGGAAGGAAGGAAGGAAGGAAGGAAGGAAGATATAGAGATGTGCACCAGCAGTTTTGGAAACACAGTTTTGGAAAGAAACTTAGAAATCTGGAAAAAGGTGGTTGTCATATAAAAATTCCGAATTTGTTAGTTACTTCTTCCTTCCAAAAAGCACAGATAAAATAGTTATCACCAGATTTAGACTCCAGTTGCTCTTGCAACACAGGTGACTTATGGGAAGAGAACCGAATTGCTCTACAGCAAACATGACACTTAGCAGCTGAATAAGCAATTTTTGCTTATTAACGGGGCGAGAGGGGGCGATTTGAACCTGTGTTCACACTTCAAAAGGCTTTGTATTATTTTTAGCCGTCTTTCAGACCTAATGCTCATTTCTTTCCAAGGGAAAAAAAAGACGACATTTCTAACTCTGGATTTCAAGCTTTGCCATCCACTCTATCTCCTGGGAATAGAGGTAGTGTGCTTGTGGTACCGAAGCTTACCTCTTTTGCTACAGTGTGCCAATATTGGTGACTTTTGCACACATCCATCCGCTCCCGGTGGAAGAAGCGGCACTTTTCAGGAACCAAAAGGACATCGCTGACAAACTCGCCCACTGCAAAATAAATAAATACGAGAGCGCATCTCAAATAGGATATCCACCACAAGTACTGACCTCAGCTTTGGCTCTCCAGCTCAGATACTGCTAACACCTCAGCAAATGCACCCTTGTTATTTCTGAACACATCTCAGAATATTAAAAGAAGGCAAAACTCTGTCGTTTTATTTCTGTAACTCACCTACATATTTTAGTTTAGGTGTAACTTGAAACCCTCAGCTCTCTGACCAAACACAAAATGGCTACCTGAATATGCGCTTTAAAGCGATGAATTTTAAGAAAGTATTTAGTTTTTCTATTAAAAACCCCCAAAACCCCAAACATTGCCATATTTAATGCTTTAGTTAGAATTTATTTTATTCAGAATATAATTTTATTTAGGAACTCAGTAATACTTTCCATAACGAGGTTTAAACATTAAATATTCGAACCTTTAGGTTTTTAAAAATCTTTCTAATAACATTCGGCACAAAAATTCCCATCTCACAGTCTTCCTTGGGATTTATGTATTTATATCCCACCTTTACTATTTTTAAAAATAACTCAAGGGGGCAAACATGCCCAACACACTTTCTTCCTCCTATTTTCCTATTTTCAATTTTCAAAACATTTTCAGTTGAGCTTTTACAAATCTTTAAAGAAAACAAAAGAAATATTTTCAATTTCCAATCAGGCTTTGTAATCCAGGCCTTTAAATAGGATAACCTGTCTAGTGTAAACACAACAGTATATTCATTCAGTAAAAGGAAGGAAGGAAGGAAGGAAGGAAGGAAGGAAGGAAGGAAGGAAGGAAGGAAGGGAGGAAGGAAGGAAGGACAGAGAGAAAGAAAGAAAGAAAGAGACAGAAAGAGAAAGAAAGAAAGAAGTGGCTATAATATGTGGTTACTTTTTAGGAAGATTAGGGTTTTTTCCTCTGACAAGAATATGGAACTGTTTTTACATTTTTAAATATTTTAATGTACAACAGAATACAAAAAAACCCCAAGAAATAGACTGAGAATTTAACACTTTAAGATCTAATATTAAAATCAAATCAGGAATTAACGAAACAACTAGACAATACAATAGGATTATTAATTCAATTCATAAGAAGACAATAACAATGAACAAGAACGTTTAACTAATCTAAGTAAGCATTTATATGCGATTAGGCAAGATAGAAACCACTGCAATAAATGTTTCTCTTTGAAAAAAGGCAGGCAATTGTTTCCAAAAAGAACAGTTAAAACAAATACCCAGATTTTCTTCTATTCAGGTCCATGCAAAACCTTAGAAAAACCTGCAAACTATTCAGAAGCAACATTTGGTTCCTTTCTGAGGGTTGCTAGGAGCATCAACACAGCATTCAAACTGTCAAAACCACAGCACAGCTATTCTTCTTAGATGTTGCCAATGCACCTAAGAACAGCATTTTTTCCATTGGTGTTCCTTCTGCGTAATACATGGCGTGCACGAGGTTTGTTTCCTACAGGAAATAGATCCTTGGAAAGGATAGAGAACAGGTGCTCAGGTTGATAATCTCCTTTCTGTTATGCAGGTGGAGACGCCTAATCCAGGATTGGGAAATTATGTTTGTGGATACACCTCGTGTTTTCAGGAGCAACTCCGTATTAATTGGTTGGGAACATCATTTTTTCCCCTTAAATATATACTGCATTTATGTTGTGCTTTAATTCCTGTTAGCCAGCCTGTGTCGTACTAGTGAGATGGGCGGCCATATAAATTGATATAAATAAATAAAAACTTACCAAGACATTTGAAGGGTACAACGATATAGGTATGGCCCTTGCACTGTTTCTTCCCCTTCTTACACCAATTTTTAATGTTGACTGGTTCATTGGCTTCAACCACGTTGGTGATCTTAAGGTCTGGATAGATCTAATTTTAAAATTAAAACGTGAAATGAAATAAAGCTAAATGAAGAACGGAGTGATTCCTGCAAGAAGAAAGGAAGCAGTAAAAGGAAGAGCCTTAATAAAGCTTGATGATTGATTTCCCAATCAGTAACTTCATCTCATTACTGCTAGATGCAGGAGGAGTGGCAGTACCTGGGGGGCGGAGTTAAAAAAGGAACCAGCCTAGAATTCCTATGTAGTCACAAGCAGACTAAATCCAGCCTTGAATTCCATTATCTAACTCCAAGCAAGTGTTAACCGTTATTTAAGAAATTCCTATGCATAGGCAGTTTAGTGATTCCTCTTCTTCTTAGGCCCATGATGGCGAACCTATGGCACACGTGCCGCAAGTGGCACACAGAGCCGTCTCCCGGGGCATGTGAGCCGTCGCCCGTTGGCTCTTCTGGGTTTCGGCGCACCGGCCATCTGGTTTTCACATGCGCAGGAACGTTGGAAACCAGAAAAGTAGCCGCCTGGCGCGCATGCACGTGCTGGGCAGCTGCTCTTCTGATTTCCGGCATGCGCCTGCACACCGCCACTTGGTCTTCCGGTTTCCGACACGCACACACATGCTCGGCACTTGGTGCCGAAAAGGTTCGCCAACACTATCCTAGGCTGTTTAGTTCCATAGGCTGTTTATCCATGTTTCCCCGAAAATATGATCTACTCCGAAAGTAAAACCTAGTTTGATTTTTACACGTGTGCCCAATATAAGCCCTAACCCCCAAATAAGCTCTAATTAAGACCTCACCCACGGGTGCACGGGTAAAAATTAAGCTAGGCTGGGGATGGGGGGTTGGAGTTCCCCTAATACTTCTTATCTTCGGACAGTTGCAGCCAGGTCTCACACACCTCGGCCCATTTCTTCTGCAGCCAGCAAGGCTTTCCTGAAGGCCTCGGACAGTGAAAAGGAGGCCGGGGCGACCCATATAAGTGAGGTGAGTCAGTGCACAACAACAACACCGCCCCCCCCCAAAAAAATAAGTCCTGGTGCCTTTTTTGATGGCAAAAAAATATAAGTCAAGGTCTTATTTTTGGGGAAATATAGTACTCCCCTGAAAATAAATTCCCCCCTGAAAATAAGCCTTCCCCCCAAAATAAGACCTCCCCCTGAAAATAAGCACTCCCCAAAAATATTTAACTGCATGTGCAGCCGGTCTCTGCCAGAGCTGGAAATCAGATAAGACGGCAAGAAGAGCCCAGTATTGCTCCACACGATCTAACCCTAACTCTAACCCAAAATAATAAGACCTCTCCGAAAATAAGGCCAAGCGCTTATTTCAGGGTTCAAATAAATACAAGACAGGGTCTTATTTTCGGGGAAACACATTAATAAATTAATTTAATTGGACCTTCGTATGAGGATCTGGACTTTTGCGCCGGACATTATCAGAATAGTATATTGTTGGGCTTGGCCTGGCTATGCCTGGAGAAGAGCCCAGTCAAACACAGGGAGCAAAACATCATCATTATCTGCCTACCCTTTTTAAGCTCTTAAAGTTATAAGACATAGTCGTAAACAACTGTGGCTTTTTGTTTGTTTGTTTTGCTTATTGAGGAACTACTTCTAAGTAGCCTCCAAAGCTAGGGGACCTCAGATCCCAACAAACATCCTGCCAAATGCTTCAGAAGAGCTATAAATAAAGCCACCAATGCTTTTTGAACTTTCATTAAATGGGGAACTCACTAGCCAAGGTGGACACAGGTGTCCCACCTCATGCATGCTGTCAAGCGCCAGGGAAATCAGAAGATCCAGGCAGTTCAAATGGGGATAAAGATTTATTGCAAGCTTAAACTCTCTACAAGAATCCTCCTCCTCTTTTAACGACCCCATAATCCCTTGCGGAGTGGAATCTGGGCAATTGAATGGAGCTGAGTGTTTACTGGCCAGATGCTCTTCCTGTCACCAATGCAGAGGGTTTTTTTCCCCAGCAGATATATTCTCAGTATGCCCAGAAAGTGAAATATCTGCATCTACCTAGGATCGAACTCACAGCCTCCGTGAGGCGAGAGCTCCACCTCTAAGCCATCGCACCACTCTCTACAAGAATCTGAACTACTAATGGCCCAAGCAATTTGTAAGCAGACAAAGAGTCAATGGAATTCAAGATGGGCTGGACTTAAGATTCCTTGTGGGCACAAGGGACTCGTGACTGATGATGCATTTGACCCCTCCCTCGGGCTCAGCCTGGTCATCTCTTGTACATGCTTTCATATGCTTGGGAATTAAGCCCATGTCACCGAAAGGGTTTTCAAGTGGCCCTTTCAGAATCACACTGCAGAAAAGACCAAATAGTAGGAGTTGAGTCACACAAGCTTTTTGGCTGAAACCAATTGCAAAAGCACAGTTATTTTACCTCTTGGCAGTACTGCAGAATCTCTTCCTTCCTTCCAAAGCAGCTTTTTGTCCCGGAAGGATCGGTCTCCCACTTCCCAGTCTGAATATTCACGTGCATATTCAGCATTCCACAGAACATGGCGATCTGAGGCTCGGCCACAGCAAACCCGATGCCACCGTTGGCTGCCAGGGCCTAAAACAGGAGAAGAAACATTTTATTCGCGAGCGACCAACTTTGGCTTGGATGCCTAAACAGAGCTGCCATTGTAAAGCAAGTTCAAATGCCACCTCCAAAACAGAGCGAAGGATTCCACATTTCATAGCCAACCTCTTGCGATTCAACATGGTGAGCTCTATGATTTATTCCACCTTTAACACTAAGGGTTATAATGCCCTCATCCTTGGCGCTTACATTGATGAAGGTACTGAAATCAGGGATAACCCTAATATTAATGTAAACCCCAATACTTGACAACCCTGATCATGACCTTTTGTTATGTGGCAATGCTTAGGAAAATTACAGTAAACTTGCTTACTATATGTGACTGGCACTATATCCCGGTGTTGTGCAAGATAATGGTAAAGGTAGGGAGGTGTAAGGAAACAGATGGTGTAAGATAGAAACCCTATATGGAAGGCGGAGGGGGCGAAGCCTATAAACTTCCCCCTTCTATGTACTCTATTAAAAGCTTTGTCTCAGCTAGATAAGTGTATCAAAGGGCGATGTCTCATTTGTACTTAGAGATGTTGAAGGTATAAAAGTAGACCGAAGGGAATAGCCCTTCGTTCAGAATTTGCCATGCTAATGCTCTGAACCTTTGCGCAAATAAACTTGTGTTCTCCAACTCTTCGTGGTCTTGTCTCCTGAATTGAGTGGTGGGTTTCCCACATCAACACACCACAATCAGATTTAGATCTGGGTACAGTACTGACTGCTAAATTCTTGCTCTGAACGACTCAGCCATCAGGCTACTGAAAAGCACTACGGATGCAACCACCATCTGCATCAAAACTGAGCATCCAGCCTATTTATTTATTCCAAAGATCTATTTGACAGATTTATACACTGCTCCCTCCCTTAATGGCTCCCCGCAGATTACAATACAGCTGAAGCTTCCATAAAAATCAGCATTTAAAAAATGACAACTATAAAACAAGACACAAAAACCACAAAATTCAGTACAGTCGAACAGTAGCATTAAAACGCCAGAGGGGAAATAAATATGTTTTTGAACCCCCTTCTAAATGGTAATGAGAGGCTCGGGTTCATCTGTAAAGGACAGTTTTATTTCATAGTATAAGGTTCTGAAAGGGAAAGCCGAACTACTCGCTAATATCAAATGTATCTGAACTTGGGGCCGAGAAGAAGTGCCCCACAGATGACACAGGTCTGGACCCACATTAAAAAATATCAGTCTTGTCAAGAGCCACTAAGTTTTCATATATATACTTATCAGGGTTGGGCTTCAAACATTTTAGCAAAGGGTTCTCTGCCTGGTAGCTGGGTGGGCGTGGCCATGGTGGGCGTGGCCTAGTCGGCCTCCTGCACCACGGCAGGGGGGCATTTTTGCCCTCTCCAGGCTCCGGAGGCTTTTGTCGAGCCTCCGGGAGGGCAAAAACAGCCTCCCCAAGCTTTGGAGGCCCTTCCCGAACTTCCGGTAGGCACTTTTTTGTCCTCCCCAAGTCTCCGTGCGCGCCCTGCACTTACCTGCATCCAAAACAGGCCACGTGAGGACTTCTGGGAGAGGCAGGCCCAGCCAGGAGTGGGATTTGGGGATTCTCCAAAGTGCACAGAATCTTAGCTAGAGGGTCTCCCGAACCCCTGCAAACCCCCAGCAGCCCACCTCTGGTACGTATGCATGTATATGTAAATGGTGTGTGTCTGTTACAGATATGTGGATAACTTACTACTTTCTGAGCTTGGTTGTTTTCTTACAGACGAGAGAGTGGGTGGACCAAAGTCACCCAACTGGCTTTCATGGCTAAGGTAGGACTTGAATTCATGATCTCCTGCTTTCTAGCCTTGTGCTAGACCAGGGATGTCAAACTCAAGGCCCGGAGGCCGGAGCCGGCCTGCTGGGTGCTTAGATCTGGCCGGCAGAGCTGCCCTGGAAAGAAGCAAAGGACAGGCCCAAGGTCCCTCTGCCAGCAAAAACGGAGCTCAGGAGGACTGTGCGGCCCTCCCGAGTTCCGTTTTCGCTGGCAGAGGGTTGCAGGAGGCCGTCGCAGCCAAAAATGGAGCTCGGGAACCCGTTTTCTCTGGCAGAGCGCTCGGGCCACCACAGGCACTCCCGACACGAGTGACATCGAGTTGGCCGTGTCCACCCTGGCCACGCCCCCCGCCCCCCCGAGGTCAAACATAACCCTGATGTGGTCCTCAATGAAATTGAGTTTGACACCTCTGTGCTAGACCAAACTGACTTTCTTTTTTTAATTCCTCGAGTTTGCTCAGCTTGGTAGTTTAAGGTAAGGGGAATAGTAATTGTAAACCATATGAGGGGATTTTCCAACTAGGATACTAGGATATCATGCCGATGGAACTGACAGCAAATAGAAACAAGCTTTAATTCCAAGACTCTATTTCATCTCTAGAAAGGAGAAAAGCACTGGATTGCTCATTCTTGCATAGGAAAAGGTCATTTATTTTATTCCAGAATGATCTATTTATCTGTTGACAATCTTTTTTATTGTTGCCTGTACCTGCCCTTTGGACACACCAAGAAACACGTGCACACCCACAAGACGTGTTTGGCCTTTTTGCATTGATCCCTAAAGATTCTCCTACCAGATGTGGGATCCATATGCATGTAGGGACATGTAAGCCAACTATCAATCTCAGTTTAGCCAGTGATTCTAAAACCTTTAGTGTTTTTTTTTCTTTTTAAATTGCTTTGTACTCTCAGAAGCGAAATCTTCTCAGGCTGCCTACGAATTTTCTTAAATTAGAAATCTGCTTTAATCCCACACCACCAAGAATATCCTTGAATTAACATTTCAAGAAAAACAGTCCCAGATTGCCTTGAAGGAAAAAAAGGAAGTGAAGAAACCTCAAAGGTACCGAGAAATGTTTTTTCTTTTTCTTCGCATGATGCTGAGGAGTATATTAGGGTAACTGCTTAAGCAATTTCCCATTTTAATCCATAAACGTTAGCTTTTAGGCTCAGGAAGGAATCCACCCAGTGGAGAAATTGTCAGGCACGGGAGATACAGCATCAGAACAATGGCCATTATGCAGGAACGATGCCATAGACTTTTTATTGCCTTTCTTAACTGATTGAGTTCTGCAGCTTCCATTTGTGTTTTGCAAGGACCGTGCAAACAAACCGCAGGAAAGATGGCTGACAATTCATGCCATCCATCCCTGGACACAGGCAAACCTCTATCAATGCACCCATTTCACTACTCTTGACTAGAAGAGCCCCATTTTAATGCCTGAAAAGCCTCAAATCAGGGGTGAAATGTTCCCGGTTCGGACCGGATCACCCGATCCAGTAGCAATGGCAGCGGACGGTTCCGAGAACCGGTAGCAAAAATCCCTGCTTCCCTCCCCCATGCCCAGCTGAGCTGCGCGATCATCAGAGGCTTTTTTTTAAAATTATTTTTTAAAGCATTTTTTCTACAACCTCTTCGGCCAAAAAAAAATGTTTTATTATTAAATTTATTATTAAATTATAAATTTAATAATAAATTTAATAATAAATAGATAAAGCATTTTTTCTACAACCCCTTTGGCCAAAAAAAAAAGCTTTTAAAAGAAAAAAAAGCCTCTGACAATCGTGCGGCTCAGCTGGGATCGTCAGAGGCTTTTAAAAGCATTTTTTCTACAATCTCTTCGGCCAAAGAGGTTGTAAAAAAAAAATGGTTTTAAAAGTTTTTTTAAAAAAAGTTGGCCATGCCCACTCGGTCACATTACCCACCTACCCCACCAAGCCATGCCCACAGAACCGGTAGTAACAAATTTTACATTTCACCACTGCCTCAAATCTAGAAGATGTCTTAAGGATCATGGAGTAAAAAGGAATCCAATCCCCCCCCCAAACGATAAATGAAGACTGTTCATTTCTCAGTTTCTCCATTACAATTCTCCAATATAGTTTTGAAAAGCTGCACCTAAAAAACATAACGGAAAAAAAAAAAAAGACCCTTCTGATTTCTTAGCTGGATCTTTCCCTAGGTTGGTCTAATGCTGTCGGGGCCTAGAACCCTCTGGAATAATCCAGACACCAAAAGAGCACAAGCACCTACAGTCTTAACAGCATGTTAGCAAATGTTTTAGAAAGAGTGGGTGGAACAGCATTCGGTGCCAACAGAAACAGGAGACAGGGTGTGTCCAGAATTTTAACCTTGGTACTCGTATGCTGCATTGTGCAAAAATAGTCCTGGACTTTGAATTATAGCATGCAAAGTGTTTATAATATTCTATTCCAAAGGATCGTTTTTTTCCCCCCTCTACTTTTAGAATGCTACTTCTCTCTGCTACCTACACGGTAAAATACCGAATAACAGGAAGCCGAAGGAGTCAATCGGCCTATTTGCTGTTCCTCCAAAATATATTCTGAACCAGCGTAGTAAGTCTTGTTTAAACACACGGAGATGCTGCATGTTTAAACATTAAAGAGTTGTCGTGTTTATTTTTGGGCCTCTCTTCAGCTCATCTCCACAGAAACCAAAGGGAAGGTACCATTCTTCCTCAGATTGCTCAAAGAGTTCGCATCTCACTGGAGACGTGTTGCCATAGTGACATTTTTAGAGGTTTTATTCACAAGCGAATCAGCTAACTTAGTCACTCATCCTCAAGATGTTTTAATTACCTAAAGAGAACAAACAGATTCATGGGGACACCCCCCCCCCAAAAAAGAAGAAAAATGAAAAGAGCTGTTGAGTGAAGCAGCATCCATAATGAAGGGTAGATGTGCAACCAATGCCCAAGTTGTAAAATACATGGCATTGTTTAATTTATTAATTAATTAATTTAATTTATTAATTTATTGTTATTCCACCTGTGTTTGAACATAAGAAATGCATCAGAAGTACTGCCTTCATAAAACCTACAATTAAATTATTCACGATTTATGAGCTAGAATCTCAGGGTTATATTTCTGATGATTTTATTTTTCAACATTTCCCTTTCGAGGGATTGGTTTTACAAATGGCCATTGATTTTTGGTGTTTGGATAAAGTTTTTGATGATTT